TAGTTTCTATGGTTCGGGTGTAGTTTCTATGGTTCGGGTGTAGTTTCTATGGGAAGAAAAACACGTTAATGATATAAATATTTTCAAATACAAACATAAATAATAGACTGATTAAAGACAGAGGCAGAGTGAGGACAGTTTGTCCTCCAGCAGTCTAAGTCTATAGCAGCAGAACTAAGGGACAGCTCAGGAAACCCAAGCCAACCCCAACTAGAGGATTTATCAAAAGGAAAGTCTTAAGTCCAGTCTTAAAACTGGATAATGTGTCAGCCTCACGGACAGAACCTGGAAGTTGGTTCCACAAGAGAGGAGCCTGAGAACTGAAACCTCTGTCTTCCATTCTATATTTGTAAACTCTAGGAACCACAAGTAAACCTGCAGTCTGAGAGTGAAGTGCTCTGTTAAGAAAATATAGAACAATAAGATCTGTAATATAAGATGGAGCTAGGTTGTTGAGAGCTTTGTAGGTTAGAAGCAAGATTTTGAATTCTATTCTGGATTTGACAGGGAGCCAATGGAGAGAAACTAAAACTGGAGAGATATGATCTCTCCCAGTAACTCCAGTTAAGACTCTGGCAGCAGTATTTTGGATCAACTGAAAAGTTTTTAAAGAAGTTTGTGGATACCCAGATATAAATGAATGAATGAACGAATTAAATTTATTTAAAAAGGGACATTGTACAACTCAAACATAAAGGTCACCATCTGATGCGTTGTACCAGATAATGACAAAAGCTAATTTGCATCTGCCGTTCCTAAACCATTGCAATAATCCAGTGTGGATAAACGCATGGACCAGTTTTTCTGCATCATCTTTAGATCAGATGTTTCTAATGTTAGTGATATTACGCAGGTGGAAGAAGGAGGTTCTAGTAACATTTTTAATGTGGGGGATAAAAGACATGTCCTGATCAAAAATAACACCAAGATTTTTAACATTAGAGCTGGAGGACAGATTAATGTCATCTAAGGAGGGAGAAAGACTGAAACATTCATTCCTAAGGTGCTCAGGTCCAAAAACCCAAACGTCTGTCTTGTCTGAGTTTAGATGCAGAATGTTCAGAGACGTTCTGGCTGTTCTAGTGCTCTTCATAAGAGCAACAATTGAGACACTCCGCTAACATTTTGCTTTCTCTTCGCGTCATCTACAGTTTTTTGAAACAATCCTTGTGACGGAGCGGCCGAACCGATCTCCTCTGGTCTGCTGCAGCAGTGAGAACAGCATATTGTCCTCCTGCATGAATAGACACTGTAACGAGAAGAAAAGGGCAGTGTTGAGCCAAACACCAGAGATATTCCCAGAATGTTCTCCATCTTCCCCACACGCTCACACTGGTCCAGTTGTTCATTAACACAAACACTGACTGTATGTACATGTTGCATTTACCATCCATCACAGGGGTTTTCAGGTGTTCCTCAGGACAGAGAAAACAAGGCAGACGTGAAGTAAACTTTGTGTTCTGAGGGGAAGGAGCCACGGAGGCTCGTCTCCTCTGGAGGAGTTCCCAGCAGGAGCAGCATGTGATGGAAGGCTGAATTGCTCACCAGACTGTGTTTCCTCTGCTGCTGTTGTTGCTGCCAAGCAAATATAGTGGAAATAAATGGTGGCTTTCTGACTCCCCCCCCCCCCCCCCCCCCCAATAAGAGGCAGGCAGTAAATATTTTAGAAAGCAAGGCAGACTGATTGTTTTGTCCTAACAGGAAGGTGGAGGATCTGACAGGATGGTTGTATATCAGCAGCTGAGCAAAAATGTTTAAAAGTAGCTCCTCGTTTGTCTTAAACCAGGGGTGTCAAACTCACTTATAAGAGGGGCCAAAATTAAAACCTTTTTCAAACTAAGGGCCAATTTCAGAATCTACATTAAGTCAAATCAGATACCCAGCATCTTTTCTTGGTCACGGGTTCCTCAACAAGTGTTTGATTGGTCTCACTTGATGTTCTCTGCTGTGCTTTCAACATCATAATCAAAGATTACTGAAAAAATTCAAGAGATAGAAGTATTTTATGTTTCACATATCGTCTTGGGGGCCAGATAAGATGTCACCGAGGGCCACATTTACCCCCGGGCCTTGAGTTTGACACATATGTCTTAAACTAAAGAATAAAGGCAACACAAAGGTTAAATCATATCATCTGGACCAGTTTCTTGAAGTGAGAAAGGTTCATCCCCCATCCAGAGGACTTCCTCAGTCTACGACCTGCCAACCAGATGTGTCCCATAGGTAGCTGTCACTGCTGTGTTTCAAGCCAACCTCCTGTTGGAATCTCAAAAGTAGACTTTAGCACGTGCAACACACCCATCCGAAACAATCCATCATCATGTACAACGATCAAATGTTTGAGGCCAGGTGGACAATAAAGGATAACGGTTTTTCCCTTTCTGACAATAAATACAGCCCAACTCTATTTTTAATTAATTAACTGTTTTATAATTGCTGACCTTTTTCCCATTTATGCCCACTGTTTACTGTGGGTGGGGTGATAGAATATACAAAACATATATAACAAAGATAATATTTTACAGACCAACACATCAGAAATCATGAGTCAAATTTCACAAACGAGGTCAATTAAGACATGAACTGAGTCTGTTGCATCATTTTAAATGATCCTAAAAGATAGAGCAATCTGTGAGTGAGTCAGGGAAAGTTAATTTAAGATTATTAAAGAAGAGTGTTCATTCTCTAAGGGAGAGTACAGCTACCCTTCAGAGAGAACTCATTTAGACCTCCTGGAACCAGGATCTGGTTCGTCCAGCCAGAGATCATGGCCACAGGTGAGAGTAGGAACATAGACTGACCAGTGAACAAAGAGCTTCTCCTTACAGCTCAGCTCCCTCTTCAACACAATGGACCAGCTCAGAGTCCACAATATTGCAGACGCTGCACTGTTCCATCTGTTGGTCTTCCATCACTGTGAACAAAACTCAGAGATACTTGAACTCCTCTTGAACCTCAACAATGGAGCTATACGTTGGCTGCACCGTAGCACCTGCTTAACTTTGCAGGAGGCAGGACTCCAGTCAGCCATCATGTGAAAAGGAGGAACCCAGACCCAGACCAGTGGTCATTCCATATGTTGAGGGAGTATCAGAGAAACTGAGACGTTTATTTTCTAAACAGAACGTCCCAGTGGCTTTTAAACCCCAAAATACATTAAAGACTGGTTCATCCCAAAGATCCAGTCCCCCGGCACAAACAGAGTAATGTTGTGTATGTTGTTCAGTGTCAGGAGGGTGATCAGTCTTACATCGGGGAAACAAAACAGCCACTGGCCAAAAGGATGGACCAGCACAGAAGATCAACATCATCAGGCCAGGACTCTGCAGTCTACACTCATCTCCAGGCCAGAGGTCACACTTTCAGGGATGAAGATGTTCACATCCTGGACAGAGAGGAACGATGGTTTGAGAGAGGAGTAAAGGAGGCCATCTTTGTGAAAAGAAACCGTCCATCATTAAACAGGGGTGGAGCCTCCGTGTTCAACTGTCCCCCTCTTACAATGCTGTGATTGCTAGTATCACTCAGCCCTCTGTGAACAGTAAACAGCCATCAGGTGCTAATGATCCATTGTTAGGCTGATGGTCCTTCTTGAGCATGTGATCAGCTGGTTCTGGTTGTCAGCAGCAAAACTGGTTGATCCACTCTGAGAAGGTGCTATTTAAGAGACTGAGCTGAATACAGCACCTCAGACTGAGGAAGTCTCTCGGATGAGAGACGAAACAGTTCTACAGTTTTTAAAATTTAATCCTTCCAGAGGACCAGACTTAACTTTGTTAGATTTGTTGCCTCTGATTCCCTCCTGCAGTCCAAAAACACGTTAGTTAGTGGTTAGTTGGTGACTGGTGTGTGTGTGTGTGTGTGTGTGGTCTCCATGTATCCCTGCTTCCTCTCTAGTGATGGAGTTAGGCACCAGTTCTTAGAGGCCCTGCAAGATTCGAGCTGGTTTAGAAAATGAATGGGTCGAAGGAAAGTTATGTCACACAGGAGGAGAACATTGGTTCAACATTTTGTTCCACCTTTATCCAAACCATCGATCTGGACTGCTGTAAATTATAGAGAGAGCACATGTTTCTGCCTGTTACATTAAGTTGAAGTCAAGGACTCTTTGAGATGCTTCAATATCTGCTCGAAACATGAAGACAACTAACAAAGAACCAGAGTTCAGAGAGCAGTTTGAGAGAGGAACCTGAAGAGAGTCAGGAGGGTTCAGCTGAAAGGGAAAGTGGAGAAGTTGGATATTACACAAATAAATCTGACTTCACAATGGGACACACACGCAGCTTGTGGTTGGCACTGCCACTCATGGCTCTACAAAGAGACCACCTCATGGATGAGACACCCCCCCCCCCCCCCCCCGTCTTTCAACCTAAAAGACTAAAGCGCTCTAACGGTTTGTGTCGAACTGAGAAAAGTCAGCGCGTAGCCCCACGCAGAGGTCAAGACGTGACCCTGTGTGATGACTCTCTGTTAAAGAGCGCTTCAGTCCAGCATGAAAAGATGATCTGCTGCCATGAATCAAACTTCAAACATCTTTCATCTCCTGCCGCCTCCACGAGACGTCTCAGAGCAGATTGTGAAACTCGGCTTCACCCTGTGAGGACAAGTCCTGCTGCAGGCTCAACCGCTGTTCCTGACGTGGTTTCTGTGTTGTAGTTGTTCCACATCACAGAGAGAAGAGAAGGAACTTCATCCGTCTGTCTGCCTGTGGGCTTGAAAGACGAATGAGGTACCGACTTCCATTTTGGAGTGTGGCTGCATCTGCTTTAAGAAAGATCAACCCCAATATATGTAAACTGACACCCCCCCATTATTTGGGCAAACTATGGTTTCTAGTTCTTACATTTCTTAAAAGTGTTGTTTCCTCAAATGATTGGGGTGGCTGAAGATTAATCTATGGTGGTCAAGGCCACCATTGGCCACCCCCTGACTCCTCCCCTCACCAGGATCCGTCACTCTGCTCTGCCTCTGACACTAAAACCTCCCTCTGTTCTCCACAGTGTAACTCCACCCCCACTTGGTTATCTATCTCTAAAACATTGTTTACTTAAATTATCTAATTCCAGAAGATGCAGAGATGGGGCAGAGCAGCCGACTCGGGACCTGAAAGTCCGAGGTTCGATCCCCGGTCATTGCACATCTCGTGGTGTCTCTGCAGCACACCCTATCCCCAAGTGCTCCCCCAGGCGCCTTCAATAACTGCCCACTGCTCCACCTGTGGGTGGATGGATTAAATGCAGAGAGCCAGTTTCAGTTTACATGACACATTATTATTAGTATCTCCCAGTCTGCAGACATTCACTCTTCAAAGCCCTCAAAGGGTTGGGGATGTGGCGTGCTCTGGAGCCCCTCAGGGGTCATGGGCCAGAATCAAGTCTGAGGATGTAAAAATCTGTTCCCTATATTTAGGAAAACGTGTGCACAAATTAAGCAGCATGTTGTGTGCCCAGATGAATAATTCATTCGTTCAGGTCTCAGTTGATCACATCCATCATCTGCTCCTCCAGAAGAGGACAAAACACAAACTGATGCAAAACTTAGGTTCTGAATAAAAACAACACAGAACTCTCGGCTGAAATGATCAATGAATTATTTTTGATTGCCACAAAAACTCACTTTTTTATGAATCAAACATTATAAAATTATTAATTTATTATTATTATCAAACATTTATAGTTTATTTTAGTCATTTTAACATGATTTTATTGGAAAGCATTGAGTTGTTTGTTTTCCCCTGTTTTCTTCTGCAGAGTGACTAGAGAGCAGAGAGACACCTGGACAGGTCTCAGTCCATCACATGGACACCTGGACAGGTC